GGATGTGATTTGCTGATATTTTGTTGAGGATTTTGCATGTATGTCCCTCAGAGATATTGACCTATAGTTTTCCTTTTTGTCGTGTGTTTATGTGGTTTTGGTATCAAGGTGATGCTGGCTGCAGTAGAATGTATTTGAAGCTTTCCTTCTATTTTTTGGAAGTTTGAGAAGAATAGGTATTAACTTTTCCTTAAATGTTTGGTAAAATTCACCTGTGAATCGTTTTGGTCCTGGACTTTTATGCTTTGGTAGTTTTTTGATTACTGATTCAATTTCATGTGTGTTCAGATTTTCTATTTCTTCTTGATTCAGTTTTGATAGATTTTATGTTTCTAGGAATTTATGTGTTTTTTCTAGGTTGTCCAATTCGTTGGCATATAATTTTTTATAGTAGTTTCTTATAATTCTTTGTATTTCTGTGGTGTGAGTTGTTACTTCTCTTTCAATTCTGATTTTATTTATTCGAGTCCTCTCTCTTTTTTTCTTGAGGAGTATGGCTAAAGGTTTATCAATTTTGTTTATTGTTTCAAAGAACCAACCAGCTCTTTATTTCATTGGTCTTTTCTATCTTTTTAAATTCTTTTTTCATTTATTTCTACTCTGATCTTTATTCTTTCCTTCCTTCAACTAACCTTGGTCTTTGTTTGTTCTTGCAAGTTGAAGTGGGTGCAAACTGGGGGGGTTCCAGGGCTTTCTCCACAGAGGGCATACTGGCAAGATAGCTGACGCTGAGGTTGGTGCAGGCCATGTTGTCCTAGAGCACTCCATGCAGACGGTACCCTGGCAGGGTTGCTGGAGCAAGGCAGGGTAAGGGCTAGGCATCCCAGGGCACTCTGTGCAGGGGTTGCTCTTATGGGGTGGCTGGAGCTGAAGCAGATGTGAGCTGGGAGGTCCCAGGGCATTCTGAGCTGGGGGTTTCCGGGCAAGCCATCTGTAGCGAAGGTGGCATGGGCCTGGTGTGTTCTCCAGGTGCTTAGCACCTGTGTCACTTTGGCAAGATGGCTGGAGCTGTAGTGAGCACTGACCAGGGGTGTCCTGGTGCACGGTGTTTGGGCCACCTTGGTGGGATTGTTGAGGATGGTGTGGCCTAGGGTCATGGGGCTCACTGAGGTGGTAGGCCAACTAGGGAACTTAGGTCACTCTCCTGTCCATGCTATCAAGGTGGAAAGGGGATGCAAATTGTGGTGCTTGCCAACCCCACAAACCCAAATAGAGTTCCAGGAGCTTCCCTGCCATGAGGCAGGATTCTGAGTCTAATTCCTTTATATTCTAGTTGCTCTTTTAAACCACAGCTTTTTTTCTGTGCCCATGCTGTCCAGGGCTTGTATGAGCTAGGGAATCAGGGCTCACTGAGGCAGCTGACTAGCTGTGGCATCAGGACCCTGCTCTTGGCTATGCTATCAAGGTGGAGGGGATATGTAAATTGTCGTGCTCACCAGTCCCTCTGACCTATAGACTACCAGCAGCTCTCCCAGCATTTGGTGGAGTTCTAGGGCTGGATCTCTTAAATTCTAGTTGCTCTTTTAAACTGTAGCTTTCTTTCCCTATGATTCAGGGCAGATGAATCTGCTCATGGTCCCTCAGTCCTATCCCTCACCATTGTAACATCAGGGGTGGGGGTTTCCTTTGTTACCATGTTTCCATCACTGTTGCAGTTCTCTGTGTGGTCTTTCTGTCTTTCATTGTACAGAAGCCATTCAGTCAGTACTCAGTTCCTCAGGAGGAATTTATAAATAGATATAGATTTGGTATGAGCATGGAAGGAAGTGAGTTCAGAGTCTTCCTAAGTGGCCATCTGGGACTGGAACCATTCAAAATTTTTATTTTAGTGATTGTTAGGATAGGAGGGAACAGAAATGAGAACTTTAATATGAATGAAGAGTTAAGAAATATGCTCTTTGGGCTTCTTGTCCGTATTGCATTATAGATACTCTTTCCTGGTTTGTTTGGGCTAACAAGCTACATTTTCACATTGGGTAGGAAACTAAAGCAGAAAATAAACAATTTACAGGACAGAGGGCTATGGTTGCTTATATTTCTAATAATATAATGCCATTTGAATAATGTTGCTGTTTATTTTCTGTTTGGTAGAGAACAAAGTCTACCAGGCTTAAAATGAGGAGCTCTCTTTTTAATGCTAGATGTACCTCAGCAATTTTTTTTTAGTCTAATATGGTTAATTTAATTAGTAGCATAATAATTTAATTAATACATACATTTCACCTTATATTTCTCATATCTTAAAAGGCAGAAAAAAGTCAAATACATAAAAATATTCAATGCTCTGTGAACAAACAAGGTGTAAGCCATGCCATATTATCTAATTCTAAACCTGGTACAATCATTTTTTTAAGAAATTATTTATTTATTTATTTATTTATTTATTTATTTATTTATTTATTACATTCAGTTAGCCACCATATAGTACATCATTATTCTGATGTTCCTATCTCCGTACATAAGAAAGCTCTTCCCCCTTGCTGCTCTCAGGATAGCTTCCTTGGCTCTAAGATTTGCAAATTTTACTATTATATGCAAGGGTGTTCTATTTTTATTGATCTTGGGAGGGGTCCTCTCTGCCTCTTGGACATAAATGCTTGTTTCCTTCCCCAGATTAGGGAAGTTCTCAGCTATGACTTGCTCAAACATACCTTCTATTCCTCTCTCTCTCTCCACCCCCTCAGGGATCCTAGTAATTCTGACACTGGAACATTTCATGGCATCATTGATCTCTCTAAGTCTGTTCTCATGGGCTCCTAGCTGCCTATCCCTATCCTCCTTGGCTTCCTTCCTTTCTATCAGTTTTTCTTCTATATCACTAATTCATTCTTATGCCTCATTTACCCTGGATGTTAGAGTATCCAGTTTAGACTGCATCTCATTCATAGCATTTTTTAGTTCGGCCTGATTAGATCTCATTTATGCCCTTAGAGATTCTATATTATCACTAATGCTTTTCTCAAGCCTAGCTATTGACTTCATAATTGTTACCCTGAATTCTATCTCTGACATTTCGCTTATATCCATAGCCATTAGATCTGTGGCAGAGGCCATTGTCTCTGGTTCTTTTCTTTGTTGGAAGCTCCTCCTCCTAGTCATTCTGTTGAGGGATGGTTGAGGAAGTGTACAGAGTCCAAATTATCAAGCATGACCCAAGTAAGATCCACCCTAGGAAAATCTGGAGCGGTCAGAAGCCACCACCAAAAAAACAAAGCTGAAATGAAACACAAGAATAAAACTTAAAAATTAAAAAAAACATTAAAAATTTTTAAAAAAGAAAAAAAAGTAGAGGCAAGGGGAAGGGGGGCTATAATCTCAGTGTGGACAAAGTAGGGCGTTTCAGTTGTTCCTGGGTGTATTTTGTTCTGTTTGTTAGAGGACACTACTTCCCAAAATTTCAGGGAAAGTAAAACTTGTATATATATAAAGGTGAAATTGAATAGGGAAAAAAGGACTACAATGAAGCATATACCTATAAAAAAATAGGTGTGAAAAAGTACAAGTTAAAAAGCTACTATGAAATATAAACTGATGTATTAAACATCTAGTTGAAATGAGAAAAAAGGTAAAAAAAAGAGAATAAGCATAAGAGAAAGAATAAAAAGAAAAAGAGACTTGTATCTGAAAAATAAGCCATGAGGCAACGACTGGAGCTCAATATACTATTTTCCCTGGTGTTGGGATTTTACAGTTTTATAGGGACCTTAGGGTTGTCGTCCTCTTGTTCTTCCAGCCTCCCTTCTGGTGAAGGGCCTGTTGCTGTTTCTCAGGCACCCCTGCTTGGGCGGAGTTGCCCTGCCCCCTGTCAGGAGGGTGGGAACAGTGGAAATTGGATTTTTTTAAAAAAGATTTTTATTTATTTATTTGTTTGAGAGAGAAAGAGAGATAGAAAGCACGAGAGGGAAGAGGGTCAGAGGGAGAAACAGACTCCCTGCTGCGCAGGGAGCCTGATGCGGGACTCGATCGCGGGACTCCAGGATCAGGACCTGAGCCGAAGGCAGTTGCTTAACCAACCGAGCCACCCAGGCGCCGCGAAAATTTGAGCTTTTGTTCTCTGGCGGCTTTCCGTGCCTCCTCAAGGGTCAGAGCAAAAATGGTTGCACCCAAACCTCTGGCCCAAAGCAGAGAAATTGCAGTCGGCTCTCTTCACTGTACCCTCCAGAACTAACAGTCTCCGTTTTTGTGTGTGACCACAGTAACTCTCCCAGAGGTCTTCCCAGGGGCCCAGAAGTGCCCCCGCCCTTTGTGCTTCTAAAACCACGAGTCCCGAGCACCCACAGCTCCTGGATCCTGTCTGGGCGCTGCTCTAGAGCCCTTTCCTGGCCGTTACCACTCTGTGAGTTTTTGCCAGGTCCCTGGCGCAGGATGCTTTTGAGATCCGGTGTTACATCACTTTCCAGGAGCCAGTTTATGGAGATGCCCTCCCACTACTGTTTATCTTCTTTTTTTTTTTTTTTAAATTTTTTTTTTTTTTTTTGACAGAGAGAGACACAGCGAGAGAGGGGGAACATAAGCAGAGGGAGAGGCAGAGGAAGAAGCAGGCTTCCCCCACCCCCAAGCAGGGAGCCCCATGTGGGGCTCGATCCCAGGACCCCGGGATCATGACCCTAGCGGAAGGCAGAGGCTTAAGGACTGAGCCACCCAGGTGCCTCCCCTTCTGTTTATCTCCCTGAAGCTTCATGACTCCGCCCTTCCTACTTTGTGACAGACGGCACGTTTCTGCTTCTAGCGATCCAGATATATATTTTTACATCTCAAGCTAATTTCATGGGTGTTCAGAATGGTTTGGTAGATATCCAGCTAAATTCAGGGGACCGGTTGAAATGGGGTCCCCTACTCCTCCTCCATCTTGCCTCCCCCAAAAGCTACCTCAGCAACTTTTTACTGCTAGGTAATTATAAACCTCCTTAGGTATCACATTATAATTTCCAAGATGAGTTTTTTATTTCTACAATGATTATTGGTACTGTAATTTACTTAAGTTTTTTTTTTTCTTTTAGCTTCTAGAGGTGGTCCATTTGCTTGTTATGACGAAGTAAATACAAGAGGAGATAGATATGGAAACTGTGGTCGAGACTTTTGTAGTTATCCGTATGTATTTAGAAATTTTTTTTTATTTTTTATTTTTTTTAAAGATTTTATTTATTTATTTGAGAGAGAGAGAATGAGAGATAGAGAGTACAAGAAGGAAGAGGGTCAGAGGGAGAAGCAGACTCCCTGCTGAGCAGGGAGCCCGATGTGGGACTTGATCCCGGGACTCCAGGATCATGACCTGAGCCAAAGGCAGTCGCTTAACCAACTGAGCCACCCAGGCGCCCCTGTATTTAGAAATTTATAATTTCGTTTGGGATGTAGGTTATATATTGCTAAGATCCTAGAATATATGGCAATTTATCACAGGTTTCTTTGTTTCCTGATCTGACTGAACAATATTACTCATTGCCTACAAGTGACATGTATTCAGTGCCTCTAATGTTACAACAATGATATTTGTAGTGAGATTTATTCTATTTTACTAAAGAAAGAATTGAAGACTGATGATAATTTGCTCAAATTTCAGAAGTTAATATAAGACAGGCCAGGGCTGTCAGATTGCAGATATCATTAATTTTTCTCTTGGCACATAGCCTCACAGAACAAAAAGAGCCACTTTGTACATAAATCAGTGTGCTCAAAAAGTTTTCTGAGAGAATATTGTTGAGACCTGCAGTTAAACTAGTAAGATATTTTTTTTTAACTTAGGCATATTAGCAATCTATGTTATTTTAGTAAATAAGAGAATTTTTTTTTCTGCCTTATGCTTCTAGTAATCTTCTATGCGGAAAATTAGTTTGTGCCTGGCCACACAAAGCATTAGTATCACGTGCAAATTTATCTGTGATTTACACACATGTCCGAGAAGAAATGTGTGTAAGTACATTTCGAAACACAGAAAAGAAACCTAAAAATACATGGACAACATATGAAAAACCTGAAGATAGAGATGATACATTTGTACAAGATGGCACTGTGTGTGGTCCTGCTATGGTAATTAGAACTACAAAATTTCAAGTGTTTTACAAATTATTTTTTATAGTTATACTCATTTTGACAATATACTAAGCAATTCATTTTGAAACAGCCTTGTTAAAATAATAGTCACCCATGATATATACAATTCATTGCTTTTGATTAATGTATGGAATTGTATAACCACCACCATATCCAGTTTTAGAACATCCCATTACTCTTGCCCATAAACAACATATCCAACTTTCCCAATTATTAACATCTAACAATAATATGGTACATTTGTTATAGTCAATGAACTAATAATGTTCATACATTATATTAAATAAATTCCATACTTCATTCAGATTTATCTTACCTAATGTTTTTCCCAGAATTCACCCAGAATACCACATTACATTTATTAATTATATATTCATAGGCTTCTCTTGACAGTGATGGTTTCTCATAATTTCTTTGTTTTTGATGGCCTTGACATTTTCAAGAACTGGTCAGGTATTCTGTAGTATGTCCCTCAAATTAAGATTTGTCTGATGTTTCTCTTATTATTAGGCTGTGTTTATGTATTCTTGGGAGGGAGACCTCAGAGGTAAAGTATCTTTCATCATATCATTATCAAGTGTTGATGTTAACCTTGATCACCTGCCTGAGATAATATTTGTCAAATTTCTCACTGTTAAGTTACTCTTTATTTCCCTTTCCATACTGTATTTCCTTGAAAGAAGTTACTGTGCATAGCCCATACTTAAGGAGTAGGAAGTTATGTTTCACCTTCTTGGGGGCTCAGTAGCTACATAAATTATTTTGAATTCCTCTGCACCAAAGGTTTGCCTGTTCTCCATTTATTTATTCAGTCATTTATTTGTAACAGTATAGACTCATGGGTATTTATGTTATGGTCTGGGTTAGAATCCAGTACTACTTTATTGATTTCATTGTTCAAGTTTTTCTAGCTTTGGCCATTGGGAGTTCTTTCCATTGACTCCTGTCTCTTTGACAAACTCTTAACATTGTGAGATTTTGTTTTTCTTTTTGAGTGCTTCCTTACTTTCCAGAATCACAAGATGTTCTACATTCAGATTGAATGTTTCCTGCCCCAGTTCCTAAAATCAGCCATTCTCCAAGGAACCCTGGTTCATTTGAATGGGAAATATTTAGAAACCAAGATCTAGGTATTAATTTTGCTTTTTGCTATTGGGAGTGTCACTTCTGGCCCCATCAGCAGACAGAGCTAGGAAATGTATATCTATATATGATTCATACATATAAAAACATAGATATATATACATGAATATATGTATATATGTATAAATGTATGTATATCCACTCATATTATATATATATATATTTCTATATCTACTTGTCTACATTAAAAAGCATGAGGTCAAAATTACACTTTCAAATTGAATCTATAATATAGGGTTCATTCTAGCCTTCTATCTTTTCATATTTGTGACAGTTTTCTTTGATAGTGATATACTTTGACACTTTCTTTGACAGTGATATATATGAATTCTATCCTTGGTTGTCTTTGGAATACACATTAAGCTATCTCAGAATTGCTAGCTCATTCCACTATGAAATTCTTTTTGCCCTTAGCCTGAAGTGTATGTAAAAATATTTTATCCAATAATTATTTGGGTTAATTCATTTTTCCTCCTTAACGTGGTTAGATTATTCATTTGAAAAACAGTAAGCTTTTTGGATTTCTCCCTGTCCTGTTCATTTTATTTTATGATATGTGAAATATTAAGATTCAAAACTATAGGGGCACCTGGGTGGCTCAGTCAGTTAAGTGCCCAACTCTTGATTTTAGTTCAGGTTGTGATCTCAGGTTTGTGAGATTGAGCCTCAAGACTGGTTCTGTGCTCAGCACAAGTCTGCTTGTGTCTTTCCCTCTGCTCCTACCCTCCCCCCCACACCTACGCACATGTGTTCTGTCTCTCTCAAATAAATAAAAACTTTTAAAAAATTTTAAAAAAAGATTCAAAGCTATATATGGTTATACTCAGAGAATTATCATTTTTATCCTTCTACTCCATTCCCATCCCTGCAAACCTTCTATCCATTCTCATTACTCTCCCCTACTCCCAATAGAGAAACAATTAGTTTTTATTATTAGTTTCTATTATTTTAGTTTTTATTTAGTTTTAGTTATTTTACCTTTTATTTTTTGCACAATGGAGCAGATATGTACATTTTTTATATCTCCTTTGTTAAACAAAAAGTAGTATACATGCTATAAATGCTTTTGCACTTTTTTTTTGCTTAAACATTTTGTGTTAATTAGTTTACATCAGTTCTAGAATGCTTCCTTATTATTTTATATTTTCTGGCTGAATTTTATTTATTAAAATTAATGCAGTTTTTCCATTATGAAATAATACATACACATCAAAAATGACTTGAAAATACAGAGAAGGAAAAAAAATAATTCATAGTACCATCACCTAGAGATAAATTCTCTTTATATTTCAGAACACATATTTCCAGTATTTTTAGTGTTTATAACATTTTTTCACTGTTTTAATATTACAAAATTAATAGAAATATAAATTATAAATGTAATATATCTTTGAATAATTTTTGAAATGGAGAAAAATATTAAGAAGGAAAACCATTACACAGAATTCACTTACCCAGGATTAGCCACAGTTATTGGTGGTCTTTTTTTTCTTTAATTAAACTTTTAATTTTGAAATAATTATACTTTAATGGAAAGTAAAATAGGTTAGAGATGTCCTATGTATCCTACGCCCAGATTGTCTTAATATCTTTAACCTGTAAAATATAAAAGACAGGATATTGACTTTGGTAGAAACCTTATTTAGATTTCATCTCTTTTTACAAGAATGTGTATGTGTGTGTGTGTGCTGTGTGTGTGTAGTTCTGTGCAATTATATAACATATGTATATTCATGAAACCACCATCACAATCAAAATACAGAGCTGTTCCAGCACCAAAATGGAACTCTATCATGCCTTCATTTTTAGTCATACCTTTCCCTGTATACCTATGCTGTGTTCTAATCAGTTCTCTATCTCTATAATTCTGTCATTTGGAGAATGTTATAATAATAGAATTATGTAATATCCTCTAGAGATTAGTTTTTGTCACCCAGTGTAATATCCTTGGGATCTATCTAGAAAGCCACATGTTGTCCAATAGTTCATATTTAGTGCTGAGTAAAATACCATTGTATGAATATACCACAGTTGGCCTAACCATTCTTTCTTTTTTTAGTGTCATTCTTTATATTTATATTTATTTTTTTATTATGTTCAGTTAGCCAACATACAGTACATCATTAGTTTTTGATGTAGTGTTCAATGATTCATTAGTTGCATATAATACCCAGTGCTCATCACAACACGTGCCCAATTAATACCCATCACCCAGCTACCCCATTCCCCACCTCTGAAACCCTCAGTTTGTTTCCCAGGTCCAGAGTCTCTCATGGTTTGTCTCCTTCACTGATTTCTTCCCCTTCAGTTTTCCCTCCCTTCCTTCTATGGTCCTCCGTGCTATCCCTTATGTTCCACATATGAGTGAAACCATATGATAATTATCTTTCTCTGCTTGACTTATTTCACTTAGTATAATCCCCTCCAGTTCCATCCATGTTGATGCAAATGGTGAGTATTCATCCTTTCTGATGGCTGAGTAATATTCCATTGTATATATGGACCACTTCTTTATCCATTCATCCATTGAAGGACATCTCAGCTCCTTCCATGGTTTGGCTATTGTGGACATTGCTGCTATGAACACTGGGGTGCATGTGCCCTTTCTTTTCACTACATCTGTATCTTTGGGGTAAATACCTACTAGTGCAATTGGTTGGTCGTAGGGTAGCTCTATTTTTAACGTCTGGAGGAACCTCCATACTGTTGTCCAAAGTGGCTGTACCAGCTTGCATTCCAACCAACAGTGTAAGAGTGTTCCCTTTCTCCACATCCTCTCCAACATTTGTTGTTTCCTTCCTTGTTAATTTTTGCCATTGCAACTGGTGTAAGGTGCCATCTCATTGTGGTTTTGATTTGTATTTTCCTGATGGCTACTGATGAACATTTTTTTCATGTTTCTGTTATCCATTTGTATGTCTTCTTTGGAGAAGTATCTGTTCATGTCTTCTGCCCAGTGTTTGACTGGATTATTTGTTTTTTGGGTGTTGAATTTGAGAAGTTCTTTATAGATCTTGGATACCAGCCCTTTATCTGTAATGTCATTTTTAAATATCTTCTCCCATTCCGTGGGTTGCCTCTTAGTTTTGTTGACTGTTTCCTTTGCTGTGCAGAAGCTTTTTATCTTGATGAAGTCCCAAAGTTCATTTTTGCTTTTGTTTCCCTGGCATTTGGAGACATGTCTTGAAAGAAGTTTCTGTGGCTGATGTTGAACAGGTTGCTCCCTATGTTCTCCTCTAGGATTCTGATGGATTCCTGTCTCACTTTGAGGTCTTTCATCCATTTTGAGTTTATCTTTGTGTATGGTGTAAGAGAATGTTTCATTCTTCTGCTTTTGGCTATCCAATTTTCCGAGCACCATTTATTGAAGAGACTGTCTTTTTTCCATTGCATATTTTTTCCTGATTTGTCGAAGATTAGTTGACCATAGAGTTGAGGGTCCATTTCTGGAGTCTCATTTCTGTTCCATTGATCTATATGTCTATTTTTGTGCCAATACCATGCTGTCTTGATGATCACAGCTTTGTAATATAGCTTGAAGTCAGGCAACATGATGCCCCCAGCTTTTTTTTTTCCCCCAACATTCCCCTGGTGATTCAGGGTCTTTTCTGGTTCCATACAAATTTTAGGATTGTTCATTCCAGCTCTGTGAAAAATGGCGTTGGTATTTTGGTAGGGATGGCATTGAAAGTGTAGATTGCTCTGGGCAGCATAGACATTTTAACAATGTTTGTTCTTCCAATCCATGAGCATGGAATGTTTTTCCATCTTTTTTTTGTGTTCCTCAATTTCTTTCATAAGTGTTCTGTAGTTTCTAGAGTATAAATCCTTTACCTCTTTGGTTAGGTTTATTTCTAGGTATCTTATGGTTTTTGGTGCTATTGTAAATGGAATTGCTTCCTTAATTTCTCTTTCTTCAGTTACATTGTTGATGTATAGAAATGCAACTGATTTCTGTGCACTGATTTTGTATCCTGCCACACTGCTGAATTGCTGTATGAGTTCTAGTAATTTGTGGGTGGAGTCTTTTGGGTTATTATGTCATCTGTGAAGAGAGATAGTTTGACTTCTTTGCCAGTTTGAATGCCTTTTATATCTTTTTGTTGTCTGATTGCCTTCTAGTAATATGTTGAACACAATGGTGAGAGTGGGCATCCCTGTCATGTTCCTGACCTTAAGGGAAAAGCTGAGAGCTTTTGAGAATTGAGAACGATATTTGCTGTGGGCTTTTCATAGATGGTTTTTATGAAATTGAGGAATGTCCCCTCTATGCCTACATTCTGAAAAGTTTTAATCAGGAAAGGATGCTGTATTTTGTTAAATGCTTTTTCTGCATCAATTGAGAGGATCATATGGTTCTTGTCTTTTCTATCACGTTGATTGATTTGTGAATGTCGAACCACCCTTGCATCCCAGGAATAAATCTCACCAGGTCGTGATGGATAATCCTTTTAGTGTACTGTTGGATCCTATTGGCTAGGACCTTGGTGAGTATTGGGGATCAGGGATATCAATACAGATCAATACAATATCAGGGATATTGATCTGTAATTCTCCTTTTTGATGGGGCCTTTGCCTGGTTTGGGGATCAGGGTAATGTTGGCCTCATAGAATGAGTTTGGAAGTTTTCCTTGTGTTTCTATTTTTTGAAACAGCTTCAGTAGAACAGGTATTATTTCTTCTTTAAATGTTTGGTAGAATTCCCCTGCAAAGCCATCTGGCCCTGGACTCTTGTTTTTTGGGAGGTTTTTGATTACTGCTTCAATTTTGTTATTGGTTATTGGTCTATTCTGATTGTCTGTTTCTTCCTGTTTCAGTCTTAGTAGTTCATAAGTTTCTGGAAGGCATCCATTTCTTCCAGGTTGTTTAATTTGTTGGCATATAGTTGCTGGTAATAATTTCTAATAATTGTTTCTATTTTCTTGGTGTTAGTCATGATCTCTTCCCTTTCATTCATGATTTTGTTGATTTGGGTCCTTTCCCTTTTCTTTTGGATAAGTCTGGCGAGTGGTTTATCGATCTTATTAATTCTTTCAAAGAACCAACATCTAGTTTTGTTGATCTGTTCTACTGCTTTTCTGGTTTCTATTTCATTGATCTCTGCCCTTATCTTTATTATTTCTCTTCTCCTGCTTGGTTAGGTTTTATTTGCTCTTCTTTCTCCAGCTCCTTTAGGTGTAAGGTTAACTTGTGCATTTGGGATTTTTCTACTTTTTTGAGAGAGGCTTGGATGGCTATGTATTTCCTCCTTAGGACCACCTTTGCAGTACCCCATAGGTTTTAGACCAATGTGTTTTCATTCTCATTAGTTTCCTTGAATTGCTTAAGTTCTTCTTTAATTTCCTGGTTGATCCAATCATTCTTTAGCAGGATGCTCTTTAACTTCCACGTGTTTGAGTTCCTTCCAAATTTTTCTTGTGATTGAGTTGCAGTTTCAAAGAACTGTGGTCTGATAACAGTCGGGAATAATCTCAGTCTTTTGGTATCAGTTGAGACCTGATTTGTGACCCAATATGTGGTCTATTCTGGAGAAAGTCCCATGTGCACTCGAGAAGAATGAGTATTCTGTTGTTTTAGGATGGAATGTTCTGTATATATCTACAAAGTCCAGCTGGTCCAATATGTCATTCAAAGCTGTGAAGTCCATTTGGCCCAGTAAACACTCATTTTCTTTGGAGGCCTTTTAGCCACCTCATTATTGGGAATCTCTCATTGCCCTATTACCTCATATAATTATCTGTTATCCTTGCTGTTCTCTTTCTCATCATTTTTTTCTCATGGAATAGTAAACTATCTTTCTGTGCTACTCATACCCATGATTTTAAGACCCCAACCTTCCACCTCATGGTTCTCAACCTTAGTTACTCCAATAATCATGTGGACCCTGTACCCAGAGATTTTGATAGAAATGTCTCAGGTGGAGCCTGGGCATAGGTATTTTTTAAATGCTTCTTGGATTGTTCTTGAATTCAGGAATTAGTCAAATTATTTTTCTAAGTACTTCCCTTTGTAAGTGGACTTCTAGTGCTAGATGGTAAGAAAATAAAACTTCTAACTTCTCACATTTTGTTACATCTTTAAAATCTGAAGTCACATAGCTTATTTCACATTTATTTCAATGTTTCAATTATTACCGTATTTTATTTTTTGTATTTTTATGCCAATTCTTGATAGTATGAATTCTGAAACTTTCTTGAATTTTTCTTATGTATTATCCATGAATACAATCTGATTGTGTGACTATTCTTCACTTCCTTTTGCTTTTAGTATTGCCTCAGATTTAAGTGTGTAGAAGTTCAATACCAGATAACAAATGAAGAGTGCAATTCTACTTATTGCAATAGCCATGGAGTAAGTAATTTCAATTTTCATTTTAGCAAGATGCTTTGAACAATGCTGTAAAACAGTTTGGAGATTTAAAAAAAATCATTAAAATGATTTTCATGCTGCTTGGTGTCATTTAATAGTCTATAATTTATAACTTCTATCTTATTTTCTTAAGAAATCTTGCCAAGGGCACCTGGGTGGCTCAGTTGGTTAAGTGATTGCCTTTGACTCATGATCCTGGAGTCCCGGATTGAGTCCCGCATCAGGCTCCCTGCTCAGTGGGGAGTCCGCTTCTCCCTCTGACCCTACGCCCTCTTGTGCTCTCTCTCTCACTCTCTATCTCTCTCTCAAAAACATAAATAAAATCTTAAAAAAAAAAAGAAATCTTGCCAAACTATTTATTAGAGAAGATAGAAACATTTAAGGTGATTCTGGGTGTATAAAGTGTTTGGAAAATAAAAGGGGTAGATGTGCTATATGCACCATGTATTATTATATAACCAAAATGATCTTATTTTCACAGAAAGAAGGTAGAAACTGGTAAACAAAGGTCATTAGAATTTTCTTTCTAGTCTTGCTTGTTAATTCAGAGTCTGGGCTGTTCTGTGAAACTAGCAACTAAATAATAGTGGCAAGTTACTGGTAATTGCCAGTATTTGGATCTGGCCATGGAAAGAGTTGAAGAATTTTTTAAAAAATTGCTTTGTTAGCAGAAGCTAAATATGCTTTCTAAAGTATGGACAATTCCAAGAGAAAATTTGTGAAAATTTATTGAGTTGTCTATTTAAGTTAAATTCTCTGGAATGAATAAATTCTCTGAAATAAATTTCTCTGTTGAATAAGTATAGAATATTCATTGCTCTCTATTGAAAACCATCTTTGTACATAAGAAAAACCCCAATTGTTCTATTTTCTGATTACTGCAGGTTTGCAACAATTTAAATCACTGCCACTGTGAAAAGGGGTTTGACCCTCCTACATGCGTGCAGAAGAAGGGAGAATTTGGAAGTATAGATGATGGGCACAAGGCTCCATCTGGTTAGTCTTTCAAATTTCATGAATCAAAGACAACATGTAAGAGAAAAAATTAAGTGTAGGTTCAAAGCTACGTTACAAAACACCTGATACCAACAAACATGTTTTTGTTTTATTTGTAAGATTTTTGAAGATCTAAGACAGTACAAGTTCGTTCTGTACTTTCTATATCAACATTGACATGGTCTACTAACAAAAAAGTGTACCCAGTGTTAGGCAACATAAAAGTAGAAATTCCAGTGCATAAAATTTGACTAGTTAATTTAGATTGTTCACTTTGGATTTTCTCATACATTTCTGGTTTAAAATAGTGTTTGTTAGTAGTCATTGTTATATTAATGCCAGCAGATTCTTTGAGGCTATCTTTTATTCCTTGTTGCTGCATTGTAAGGACTCCAGTCCAATCTTTTGAACTATCCTCTCTAGAATCTCTCTACTGGGGTTCCTGAGTATTATTTGGAGATTAAGCAGTCCTGGATAGGACTGAGGACACGTGGGGGGGGCAGATATTCCCTGGTTTTAGAAGATATTGGAGCCCACCTAGAATAACCTGGAAGCAGAGGCTGTCCACCCTCACCCCCTTTCCTTTTGGGGCAAATAAATACTGAAACTCCTTGGCAGATTTACTTGAACCTTGGTTACTAGGGGGAAGGCATACCTAGGGTGACCAACTTTTTACAGAGTTAACACACAGCCATGTTAGACTGTATATCAGACCAAAAAAAAAGGGGGGGGGAATAATAGTTTAACATGTAACATAATTATACACATATATTATTTTCATATAAATATGTGTAGAATATTTATTTAAAATTACATATTCTGTATTATTGATTTTTTGTTACATAAATGCTATTATTTAAGCAAAACAACAATAGAGCTAGTTACTAGTGTCAATTGATAGTAGTTTATAGTACAACCAATTAAGCAAGTAATATATGTGAGCAAAAATGTAACAATATTTTATAATGAGGACAATATTATATAATATAGCCTTTGAAATAGCAGTTGACATTTACCTCTTTTTAAAAAGTCTTTCCTGGATATTTAAATTTTGCAGGCTTATTGTATAATATTAAGATTCATAAATGTAAGAATTTTCAAAGGGGGAATATAAATAAGAAAAATTAAAAGTTTGCCCTATACTTAATAAAAAATAATAATGACAGGATTCTTTCTTTCTTTTCTTTTCCTTTTTTTAAAACTAATGAATCATTGAACACTACATCAAAAACTAATGATGTACTATATGTTGGTTAATTGAACTTAATTTAAAAATAATAAAAAATAAAAGGATTGTTTCTGTTCTATGATATGGTCAGATATATTTTTGGCTCCTTCTTTTTCATTTTCCAATTATATTTCTCTGTATTGCTTGCAACCTTTCAGACATCCTTCCTTTAACCAGCAGCAAAATAGAATAGAGCCAGATGTACAATTGCTTTTGACTTGAAGCTCTGCTTTATCAAGTCACATTTACTGAATTCAGGTGTCAGTCCATTGTGATGGCCTCAGCAAAGATCTCCCACAAAAGCATTTGAACGTGACATACTTGGGTTTTGTTTTTGTTTTTTTTTTACTAGACACAGATTTTTAGACTTGTAGAATTTATTTTGCAGCTCTCCAAAAACATTCATTAGCTTTGTTTCTGTAGGTGTCTTCTGATAGACAAGGTACCCATCAGTCAGTTCCTTTGCATATTTAATTCATCATAAAGGCTGCCCATTTCAAAAATGTTCATCATTTTTAAGCACTCTAAAGCACATTGGATGTCAGAAGTTAAATCTCTTTTTCTTAGGGAACATGGTTGAAAGCATAGAGGTAATTCGCATTTGTGAAATCTAAGTTGAATTACAAATAAATTACGATTTTAACAAAGGTACTGAGAAGGTCCTGTTTCACTGCTTGCCTTTTTCTAGTTACATTTTTTGAGTCTGAAGCAGTCTTAGTCCCAAAAATATGAGTCATAGGTATAGTCCATGTTTTCCCCTAGGATTCACAAATTATCAAATTTTCAGAGAAACAGCATGTAAATTTCTGTTCTTACTGCAACCTTTCTATTTTCCTTCTCAATGTATTTAAAAATTAAATAAGTACATTATTGTCCAGCCTTTCAAGAGCAAGATTTTATGCCAGGCTAGTATTCTAACACGCCTCATAATACTGGTAACACTAAGAGCCATCTTGTATGTGTCCATGTCTGAGGAAGCCATCGCCTTCCCATTTCATAAAGTTTTTTAAAAAAATCCCATTACCAGCTTCCTTACATTTTGAGGAAACTAAAAGTGACCAAAAGCTTTCATCAGGAAAGCCTGTATATAACACTCTATTCAGTGTTGTGTCCAAGGTGTGAAGGATATTTAGTGGGTGAGATCTTTTCCTTTTCTTTGATAGGAAGCTTATAGACTGAATAGGATTTGCGGAAGTTTACATTTGCACTGGGGCCTGCTAACTATGCATATAGATCAACAAAGTCTAGTTTGGATTTGAGCAAGATAACAAATATTTTTATGTTTTCTGTAATTTCATTAAAATCTGCATAGAAATTAAACTTATTTTAAACTTCATTTTTAAAATCAAATTGCCTAAGTGCTGGGGATTATTTTGCTGCCTTATTCACTTGGTAAGATACGACAGAATCATTGCTACACTTAAGGGGTCAAAAAATGTTATAACAGTTCTCACATTTTTCTCCCATGGGACATTTTAGTGCAATCTGTGAACCAGGAAATGTAACTTCACTTGGTTTTGTAGAGCAATGAAGGGAATGAGTGATAGGGCAGTGCATGTTTGTTCCTATGGTGTGCCAAAGCTAATGCTAATTTGCTAGTTATTTTTGTCAGGACATTGGTGTCTTTTGGGGAAAGAAAAGTTGTTGCTGTTGTTTTTAATTTGGGAAACAAAAAAACATAGTTGATTTAAAAATACTTGCTTATTTTATCCAAGAAATTTGAGATTCAACCTCCAAATATGCTTTCACATCACCTTCTCCACCATACCTATTCCAAATTCTTTTTTTTTAATTGAGATATAATTGACATATAACATTATATTAGTTTCAGGTGTACAATATAATGATTCAATATTTGTATAATTGTGAAATAATTGCTATAAGTCTAGTTAGCTTCCATCACATACATAGCTACAGGTTTTTTTTCTTGTGATGAGAATTTTTAAGGTCTGTTCTCTTAGCAACTTTCAAATATGTAATACAGTATTATTTACTATAGTTTCCATGCTGTATTTACACTCCTAGGAATTATTTATTTTATAACTGGAAGTTTGTACCTTTTGACCCCCTTCATCCATTTCACTCAACCCTCCACACCACTGGCAACCAACAATCTTTTCTCCATATCTATGAGCTTGTTTTTTCTTTTTTCTTTTTTTTTTAGATTCCACATATAAATGAGATCATACAAATATATCGTATTAGTGTCTGACTTATTTCACTTAGCATAATGCTCTCAAGATCCATCCATGTCATTACAAATGGCAAGATTTCATTCCTTTTTATGGCTGAATAATATTCCATTGTGTATATATATTTGACCACATTTTCTTTATCCATTCATTCATTGATGGACATTTAGGTTGTGTTCATATCTTGCCTATTGTAAATAATGCTGCAGTGAACATGGGCAGTGCATATATAATTTTGAGGTAGTGTTTTCATTTTCTCTGGCTATATACCCAGAAGTGGAATTGCTGGATCATATATGGTAGTTCTATTTTTAATTTTTTAACCTCCCCCTCCATACTGTTTTCCATAGGGGCTGCATCACTTTATATTTTTACCAATCGTGCTCAAGGGTTCTTTTTTCTCCATATTCTTGCCAACACTTGTTATTTCTTGTCTTTGATAATAGCCATTTTAACATGTGTGAAGTGTTATCTCCTTATGGTTTTCATTTGTATTTCCCTGATCATTAGTGATGTTGAGCATTTTTCATGTACACCTTGGCCATTTGAATGTCTTTGGAAAAATTTCTATTGAGGTCTTGTGCCTAGGATTATTTGAGTTTTTTGCTAGTGAGTTAGATGAATTCTTAATATATTTTGGATATTAACCCCTCATCAGATATATTATTGGTGAATATTTTCTCTCATTCAGGAGGTTACCTTTTAATTTTGTTGGTGATTTCCATCACTGTGCAGATTTTTAGTTTGGTGTAGTCCCACTTGTTTGTTTTTGCTTTTGTTGCCTTTACATTAAAAAAATTATCACCAAGATTGATATCAAGGAGCTTACCACCTATATTTTCTTCTAGGAGTTTTATGGTTTCAGGTACATTCAAGTCTTTAAAACATTTTAATATTTGTTTATAATATAATATAGTCCAATTTCATTCTTAACATGTGAATATCCAGTTTTTTCAATACCATTTATTTAAGAGACTGTCCTTTCCCCCATTTAATATTCTTGGGTCCTTTGTTGTAAATTAATTGACCACGTATGTGTGGGTTTATTTCTGCATCCAAATTGTTTTCTTCATATTGTATAATATGCTCTGTTTGGTTATTTATTTCTTTAATCCAGTTGTATGTGTCCTTCCATCTGTCATTAAAAATAGTCATTTAGCCTTCATGATCATGTGATGTCTGGGTCATACTGGTTAGTGTTGTAATCATTCTGATTATCATTATCTGAGCTCTTAGGAAACATGATTACAATATTGACAATATGAAAAATTAAATTAGCACTCTCTTGAAACAAAGCACAACAGTTAATCCAAAGACTAAGTCAAAGATGGACTATTAAAGATTTCAGTACCCTTAGGTTGCACACTTAAGTCACATCACTCAGAATGAATCACAAATTACAATTGTCGACATCAGCAGTCAGAGTTAAAAACAGAAACTACAGAAGGCAGGTAAGTTATGCTTTATTCTCTTGACACCAAACAATGTTGCTTTTAATCCTTATTTTTTCAGCTTCCATATGGATTTTCTTCTTTTGCTTCAACCCTCCAAACCAGTTGCCATAACTCAAAAAATTTCCC